GACTGCTTATCCATTGTCACAGCGAAATTTATTTTTCTCACTCAAGATCTTTATTTTATAAGCTAGAGCATATAAATCTGATGATAATTTTTAAAAATTTTTTATTTCTTAACATGAGATGAATTAATACCGTACCCTATATGAGGAGCTATAAGTCTGCTTAACGAGTAAACTTACTTCTCATTTATTTCTTTTTATTCATTCACTGTATTTGTATTCCTTTGGTTAAATTTTTTTCGAGTATAGTTGAGTATTTTTCAAACTCATGTAGTAGTCTAATAAACATATTTGCAAAATATTTTTTATTTAAAACTTAAGTAATCGAAAACTTTACTTTTGTAAAAAATATCGACTTTTGAGAAATAAAAAACAATGATAAATGAAAAACAATTAGGGGAGTTGGTGCTAGGGGCGAGTATGGGGTGGCGGCTCCCAGTAGTTAAAAAAAGTAGTTTTGATTGAATAGGTTTTGAAGTTAACAACATAGGCTAGAAATTCTTACGATACATGCCTAATTTTGGGATTGATTTTGTTTCTTCAGAAACTAATTAAAAATATGTCTAATGCTGAGTGTTCTCTATTACTTCTTCTTGAAAACAGTTTAAGAAAAAAAAAATAATCATGAGATCATGTAAGAAATTTTTTTGTTGCGAATTTTACTTTGAAGTAAATTTGAAAAAAAAATACCCATGTAAAAAATTCGTCGTTATCAAAATTCAATTCAAATTCAAGATTTTTTAAATTTTTGCAACGTCTAATTTTATTTGTTTAAAACACCATTAAATCAAATACTAGGAATTTGGAAAAAACGGAAAATTATAATGATAAATAAATAAATATTAAAATTTAAAATAATAATACTTGCATTAATGAATTAAATAAAAAATCAATAACAATAAAGGCATAAATAAATTACAAAAAATAATATTTTTAACAGCAAATAAATGAAAAGGAAATAATAACATTAATAAGAATAAATAACTAAACATATGAAATAATAGTATTAATAACAATAAATTTCAAATTGTAAATAAAAAGAAGATTTATAAGCAAAAAAAAAAAAAACTAAAAATAAAGAAATTAGCTAAAAGCAAAAAATAAAAAGTAAATAAATAAACTAAAAATAAGCTAAAAATAAACACATTAAATAATTATAAATAAACGATTAAAAACAATAGAGTGGAAAAGCAGTGTTTCACCAATGCTAAGTAAAAAAATGCGCAATAAGTTAAATAAGNATTTTAATATCTTGATAATTTTACAATAACCTGATACTTTTAAATTAACCTGATAACTTTAAATCATTCAAACCCGAAATGCAGGCAAGTCTAGTGTTTTTGAAAGCATGTCCAATAATATAAATATTGTTTATTTTAAAACCGCAGTGCAATCAGTTAAAAGTAAAATGACAAAAACTTTTTTTTAAAAAAAAACAATTCAGTTCAAAAATTTTTATATACTGGGAGATACAAGCACTTTATATCTTGGAAAAATAGAGATTGATGATAACTTTCACGAATGCAGTTTCATAAAAACTGAAAAAATAATAAAATAAAGAAAACTCATAATAAATCTTCCGGTGCTGAAAATGTCAGTTAAGTGACATAAGTGCTGAAGCTACTAGCTTAACGGTGGCAACACCTCAGTATAAACTATCGATGTTGTCGTCCAGTTGGAACAGCCTTGAAATAACTTTTTCAAAACCTAAAGTGGCAGCAGGGATGTAACTAAGAAACTTTTGTTATTATAAAGTTAAATGCTGTCAACCTTCCAAAGTTCTGTAACGTCCATCAATTTTCCTTAGGCATCCGACCCACTATATACTTGTCTTAAATATATATTAAACAATAACAGAATTAATTACTTGCATGGTTGGATAAACCATTATCATATTATACAGAGAGAAAGAGTTGTTTTATTCGCATTACCAGCTAAAAGACTTTTCTGGGCTACATAAAGATAAAAAATTCTGCTTAGTTCTAAATAGGATAAAATTACGAACATACAGTGAGCGCAATAATAAAGATGCCCCTCTGAATAACTACTGTTCCAGTGATCAAGTTTTGACAACTAATTTTCGAATGTTTAAAAGCGTGATCTTAGCGATAACAATTTACGTTAACGATAACAATGTCATTCCGATAAAATGTCATGAGTTCTTCACTACTTCTCCATAGTGCTTGGAACTGCATTTTATCCTGATTTGTTCTTCTCGACAACTGTGCTTTTTCTTTTTCTGTCTTTCATCATTTTTCTCTCTCGGCTACTGAGGTTTTTCAAGTTTTGTTTCTCACCCTCATTTTTCGATGGCAACTTTTCGTTTTATATTTTAAATCACTATTGTGTCTGCTCACGTCTGTCAAGTCTTGAAAATGAGCGCCTGTTTATGAGCGCTTGAAACATGCCGACTGTTATTTTTATATTTTTGAAGCGAATGACGTTTTTAATCATGTAATATCTCACAGCTTCAGTTTCTTAGGATTATTTATTTAATTATGAGTTATTGTTTAAATTTTGCTACGAAATTATTACTTATAACAAAATACAGCAGAGGGACAGTTAGGTATTATAATTTTACGCTGTTTTTTTTTCTATTAATATGAATAATATTGCTTTAAGTTATTCATTTATAATCTTTTAGGTAGAAATACATGTTTTCAAGATATTATTTTGACAAATATACTATATAATTTCATGCCGCATGTGTGGGGTCAAAACCTGGAGCCAACCTATAATGACTCAAAGATTCATAATGTTGCGAAAACATAAAAAGTAAGTATAACAGTTAACACAAACATAATTAGCAATGTATTAGGTCGGAAAAATGTTTCCAACGTTTTAAATTTTTTTGTTAAGTTTAAAGTGCGCTAACATTCTGTTTTCTCTACTTTTCCCTTATGGTTTTAATCGCTTTTCACGAACTCAATTAGTTGGCCGGAGCGAGGTTTTTCCTAGAGGTCAAAACTTTCATTTTTAAACTTGGTATACCAATTAAAAGCGGTTATTGCAGCTACGGCATTTTCTCCATACATAGCACAAATGTCACGAGCAGCCTTAGTGATCTTACGCAGTTATAAGTTTCTCGGAAAAAAGGTAAAATAATAATTTACTTAATTGTTATTTTACCATATTTAAACAAAATTGTTAAATAACCATAAATAATATGGTATTCAAACTGTTGATTGTGAGAAAAAACGTTTATTAACTGCTTTCATCTAATACCTTTAAAGAACCAGAATTTTATCACACCAACTAGGCCCTCCTAATAAAATCACTTAGTTCCTTGCAGATGGGAACATATTATAGTAGAGAGGGCTCATGACATACAGAGCATGGGTTCGAGACCTTGCGTTGACACGACCACAATATTTTCCCATTTCATTCAATACGTGAAGAGTTTCCAGTATCTTGCACTTTCCATTTGTGGCCCTGGACTATTAGAATGAGATAGTCTCATTCATGCGTAAATGGCAGCACCATAAAGTTGCTTAACACAATGAAGTCTAGTATTCCATATCTCTTACAATAGGTGAAACAACCAGATAAACCACACTCCACTGTTCATTTGATAAAATACAACTGAACACAACTTAACTGCAACACCAATTACCAAACAAAAATCCTAGCTCCAATGTCCTGTTAAATTTCTATTTTAGACTTGAAAATCATGCTAGTTTTAAATGGTCAAAAATTATTATAGTTCTGTGTTCATGTTTTTTTTTTAGCTATTCTACTAGTTGCAAACGGTTTCATAACCGTAAGGGTAAAAAATGTTCTTTGCCGTAAACTTTACGGTTAATTGGATGATAGACTGTTGTCAGTTATTTTAGACTGAATTATAATTGCCATAATTTTAGATAGAAAATTCTAACAGTGTAGAACCTCTATTAAAAACAAAAAGAAGACGCAAAAATGCTCGTTTTTTGCAGATTTGCATTCGATTTTAATAACCTGAAAATTAACTTAAATTAACTCAAACAAGAAAAACATATATATATATATGCTTTTCTTGTATATATATACATATATATATATATACATATATATATATACATATATATATATTTCAGTAGAACAAAGTATCTTCTTGCAAATGATTTAAAACATAATGCTAAAAAGATTTAATTTCACGAAGAATGTAAAAATTTTACACAATATAAAATTTCAGATTGGGTATCATTTACCTCATTGTTATTAAATTCATTTTCCTTTTAAAAGGCGTTTATGAATTATAAAAAAAATGTTTATTTTCATAAGTTTTTTTAAATTAATATTTGAAATGCAAACAAATCTTCTTAAATAATAACATTAAAATGCACTGAGCTAATTTATGTTTTACTATAAGTTATTTGGTTGCTTCTAAGCTTTAAACAATACGACACTACCGAGAAAAATTATGTTTCTTGACTTTAAAAAAAAAATTCTAAATATCTTATAATGATTAATGTGTTTGTTTTGTTTTTATTTATTATGAACAGCACAAGTTTAATCTCCATTTATTTGGAATTTTTAGACTGTATCTCATTTTTTGCATGCAAGGTATTCTCTTCATTTTTAGCCCTAAAGTGATCGAAATTTGATATTTAAGCGATGAAAATATTTTTTTCTGAAATTCAACATCACTATTTAAGCAAGACAAAATTAAAAACATCAAAATCATTTTGAGTACCTGAAAAAACTTAAATACATTTTTTACAGTTGCATTTCACACGCTTTTCAATCGTTCATTAAACAAACAGGTCTTATGTTTTGAATCTCGCTTTCATTTTTATTGATGTGTCAAACTTTCATAATGGTTTTCATTTAAATTCACTCGAATATTGATTTTATACCGTTATTTGTTGACAAGCTTCATCTCCCATTTCGGAAGGGATTCAAAAAATACACATACTAAAAGCTGCTGATAAGTGACACCCTGCATAAAATGCGGTTTTATCTGAATTTTACAATCCCATCATCACATATAAAGTCACATGTTTTCAGTCATTAAATGAAACTAGTAAGATTAAAACATTTATTGTAATCTGAATAATGAAAGAGGAAACTCCGAAGACTTCAGCAACATTTCACAAAAAAACAGTCTCAAAGACTATGATAGTATAAATGCGATAAGGTAAAAATAGAACAAAAACAAGATCAACAATGAAAAGTCTTTTGTAATAACAAAAAATGAGGAATCTACAATCGTCTTATCACATTTTTAACACACATAACCATAAAAAAATTGTTTATACAAGGATTATTTACGACTAGTAAGCTTTAGTTCAATTGCTTCAAATTGAAATTAACAAAATAAATTTCCAAAGTTGGTTTTAAAAACTTTTCCATAATAATTAATATTTTTTCTTACAAATAAAAAAAATCCGTAGGTAAAAATATTAAAGTATTTATTACTTCGTTTGACGAATTGACTATAATAAATGGAATTAAGTATTATTATTATTTTGAGAGTTAACTTTGCACGTAGATTATTATAATCAAAGTTGCATATTATCATTCATATTATTTTTCACATTAAAATTTTCAAATAGATTTCTATTATTGAAGCTTCATACTATTATTGGAGTGTTCATTACAAGTTTCAAGTAGATATTTCTGTTCATTGTTTGTCAATAAAAAATTGCAAATTGGATAATTCTAATTGTGAATTCTCATGCAAGAGTGCTTACATATTGCATGATTGCCATGACAACAAACCCTGTTAGCGTTGCTATTAACTGCACCCAAGTTGCAATATCCTTGTGCTCTTCTCGTTGCAGAATTTCAAAAAATGTGACATATAGAAGTGTTCCTGTAGCAATGGCATTCAGAACACTTACGGTCAGAGGATTGCTTTCTTCCAGGTTGCTTTCTGTGATCATGGCTATGGCCATTCCGAGAGGAGACATTAAAGCAAAGACACTCATGTATGTGTACACATGCATGTTCTTACCACCTGTTGCAAGGACTTCGAGTCCCACAACAAAAGAAATCACGTATTTGTGGACGGAGATGGCGGCAAAAACAATCCAAGTGCTCGTGGCATCTGGTCGTAGTCCTATTGCGAATCCTTCGAACAAAGAATGGAAAGACAAAGCTGCAACGGTCAGCAGAGCTGCAAGGGAGAAGGTTTGTCCAAGGTTAGAGTGCTGCATAACATCGACAGCTGCTTTTTCTGATATCGTTGATGCTCTCTTAGAGCGCATGCTGTTTTCGAGAGATCCTGGTTGTGAGCAGGAATTGGAACGGGAAAATGATCGGATGGCCCTGTTTTCGCTGGGAACGTGGGTGTGTCCACCGAGGTAGAAGTGAATGATTTCTTCGAATAGATAAACTGCGAAGAAACCAATACAAACAATGAATTCCGGGATTGGGAACTTTTCGTGGTCATGATCGTCGCCTTTTGTTGGTTCTGTTGGTTTCGGATTCAGGAACTCAGCAGTGCAATTAATGGCCTCTTCTTCTTTTTCGAAACCCTCTCGTGCTTCAGGCAAAAGGTGCAAGAAAGTAGTTCCAAGAAGGACACCACCTCCAAAATAAATAAGAAAGGATGTCACAATCTTACCCCTTCGGGCACGGCAATTTGGCTTGCAGACTAATCCAACGCAATCACATTGGAACAAGGTCTTTTTCACAAAAACAGGTAATATTCCAAATATAAGTGTTCCAATTAAGAGTAAAAATAAACAGACAACTCTGGCAACTAAAATGTCAGTTTCCATGGCTACAAATTTTGGTGCTCTGTTCACTAAGTGACAGAAATTTTTTGAAAGGAATGATTATTGTTAGCGCGAGCAGTTTTGTTTGCGTGTTCGGGTTCGCCCCCGAATGATAACAAACTGCAAACAATAGAAAGGGGAAAGATAATGTTCATGTTATCAGTTGAAAGTTAAAAGAATCTTTTTTTAAGCATTAGAGAACAATGACGATGGACAAAAGTCGAGATCAGAAGGAAAATAATGAAGTGTTTGCTAACTGTTCAGTAAATACATATATTTACTTACTTACTTCTATTTAAGAAAATGAGAATCCGCTTTATCATATAAAAATGATGACAGCACCTGCTTCTAACGGTATTAAGTGTTAATGCCAGGATGTTTTATCCATTTGTGACACCAGATTTTATTTCACGTCATTTTATTGATACTTCTATTTCACACCGTATGAAGCTATATTCATAAAACTGTCTGTATTTTAGTAGCAACTACAGTTATAAATCACACCAATAATAAATATTACACAAGGGCAAATATTTCATCTGAATAAATAGCAATGATGATGTTAGCAAAACGGTTTAAATCGCACCAGTCGGCGAATGTCGCAACAAATATTTGAACGAGACTGGAAATTTATGTATTTTTCTAAATACAATATTGCTGACAATCTGAGAGAAAGATAAGTATAAAGTTTTATTGAAAAATGAACTTGTCATTTCATTCTAGTAAGTAATGTTGCGATGTTAAGAACAGGATGTCAAAGTTAACGACTTTTTTTGTTAATATTGTTTTATATTTGTGTTAAAATAAAATTATATGAACTTATTTTTATGTCTAGGAAATTTTCTCAATAAAGATTTCTTAACTTATTTTTTATGGATATAATATGGCAAGTCTCAGAATAAAACAGGTCAAGCGCAAATCGCTGATTATGTATGAAATAAATAATATAAAGTATGAATAATATAATATATATAATATTATTTAAAGTTTAAATATATATACCTTCGAGTTTAAGTATTTATATCTTCTTATGTTTATGTTAAAAAGAATTGTAAGCAAAATTAAAGAAAAGTACACTAAATTTTTGTTCCTTTATCAAATGTTCTTTTAAGTGATCCCTTTTTTTTACTTTCACTTTACTGATTTTACCATAGAGGGCTCATAAACTGTGTCTTTTATATTACCCTAAAGCAGAAATTATAGGGTGTAAGATCCGGGGTACTTGGTGGCTATGTAATTAGAGGAACTACCATTTTTACAAAGTTACTGTGTTAACAGAAAATTTAGTTTTAAGGAAACTGACAAAGAGGTCAATCATCAGATAAATAATCATTTCTCGAAACTGAATTTGTCTATAATAATAATAATAATTTTAAGGAAATCATTAGAAAGTTTTCCTCTGATGAATTTTGTTTCAAGAAGTTTAATTTGTTACAATACCCGCATTTACGGAAGGCACCAGATACATTCTTATTTCTAGAAATTTATTTTCTTAAAGTACTTCGTTTTTTGAAAATCAGATGACTCTGTTAGCAAACGATGTTTCGTCATATTTCCAAAAAATATTCTTCAATATTTCCTTTTCCCCCCTACATAATTTGACTTTGTAAATGAAGGAAATTTCAATAATAAGTAGCATTTCTTTTTCAGATTTAAGGAACTGCAAATAAGTGCAAATTTGAAAACATTTTGTTTGGAACTGAGCCGTGTTTGGAAGATTTTACCTTTAAAACAGAAAAAAACACCTGTGGTTCATGGTGCATTTCAAACCATAAATTGGGTACTTGCCCTTCAAGAGGAAGAGCATTACAGATGCTCACACAACTGATCTATGAGGTCCGCTATGAGGTATAAGTTGATCTTTTATAATCAAAGTGGCGTGTTACAGTTTCTCTTCATAATGTTAATTAACGTGATATTAATTAAATACAGCGGCGTATCGTACATTGAATTTGTTGAAATATAATTCTTTCTCTTCTACTTTTATTTATCTTAGATTTATTATTTGTTAATATCTTTTATTGTGTGTAACTTTGATATAATATTATTTCGTGCATCTGGCAACTTCGATGCGTGACAAGTTTGTCTATATTCTACATGGCTTCGTGTCTGTCTTTGTGTTAAGTAAAAAATATATAGTGAAAGAATTGAAATCTTTGTGAAAGAATATGGAATGCACTTATTATTTTTTCTTAAGAGACTTGAATCTTGACGGACTTAGCATACTCAAAATAGAATGGAAAGATCAATTGCTAACGAAAACTAATGCCACGTTTTAACAAACCATCAGGATAGAGATGCCCTCACTGCTTCACTTGCAGTCATACCAATATCAAAATGCTAAATATAATATTTTTCACTTATTTTGACCCAAACTAGTACAAAATGATGAAAATAAGTATGGAAAATATGTTTAATAAAAATTCTGCTTCAAATGGTTAATAGTAGCCAGTTTAATGTAGATTATTTTGATAACAGCGCTAAAAATAAATTCTTAGTAAAATTATAATGTCATTTCTGCAGGAAGTTCGTAAAATCGCAAGAAGCTGTAAGATCAGGATCAGAAATAGGATCTGTGCTCTGAAATATTTCGTTTACCACTACTTGATAAGATAAGAAACAAGTAAGAGAAAGTTATAAAAATGTAATGCACAGGGAGAAAAAAAAAAAAAGACGACCATCCTGAATAATTTTTTATCTAATGAGCAGATCATCATGTTCTAGTAATCAATCTTAGTGGTTGAAGGGGGTGATTTCAAACATGCTGAATAATGAGTACATATGATATTTTAAGTTACGAAATCAGAAACAAAAACGCACTTTCTCGGAATAAATATAAATTTTTTTCTCCCCAATAAATAGGGGGGGGGGGCTGCAATCCATTAATTATGGTCTCAATAGTTCGGTCGGTCAGGAGAGGGATCCAAAGCTTGGATCAGTTAATGCTGATTTTATTTTTTTGAGTATATCTCGAAAACTTTTGAATTGAAAAATTTTTGCACACACAAATAAAAACATACAAATTTGTTCAAAGATAATTCCATGCAAAACAATTTTTTTTAAAAATATTTATTATTTAATTTAATAATAATTGAAAAAAAAATTGTGGTAAAGAATAGCATTTTTTCTTCTTCATCTAGGTTTGTAATTTTACATGAAAAATCAGAAAATTTGAGCGAAATCGATCAATTAGTTGCAGAGTAATCAAATTTTTTAAAAAGCCGTATCTTTAAAAATCTTATTTCTCAGGAACTATTACGTACTTTAAAATGAGGCAAAAAATTTTATACTTAACAATTTTTCTGATTATTGGTAAATAAAATAATAAATATTTACTAAAATCTATTTTTGCATGGAATGGACAAACGAATTTTATAATTGATTGCAAAAATTTTTCAATTCGCTTAAGAAATTAAATTCACATTAGGGGATCCAAACTTTGGAACTCTCTCCTTACCAAACTATTGGAACCCAGACTGCGGCTACCCTTTATATTTTGTGGGTCGAAAATTCGAATTCGTCGAAAAAAAGGTTTATTTATTCAGAGAAAGTATGTTTCTGTGTCTGATTTCATTTTCATTATTGTCACTGCTGATTAATTAGCTTATTGGATAGAAGTCACTCCCTCAAACCATTAAGATTGAGTTTAGAATGTGAAGATTCGATCGTTAGATCAAAAGTTATTCAGCGTTATCTGTTTATTTTCTTGCGAAACTAAAATATTTTTAACCCAATTTTATGTTAAAGTATGGTGAATTTTTTTGCATTGGGTTGACATTTTTTTTAAATAAAAGATTAAATACTTAAGAAGAAACTTTAATGAAATTTTTTTTAAAAACTGAGATTTGTTTAATGTAAACATTTAATAACTCAATTATGAAGAGAATAGAATTTTAAAGGATAAATATTTATTTTCACTCATTCTAAAAGTTAATGTTACGGCATAATTATTCCATTTTGTTTTTTCGGTAAAATATAAACAATAAAGAAAGGATTATTACAAGACTAGAAAAAAAATAACATTCCTCTATTCTTTCCGTTAAAAGAACGGGAAAAATGTTTTCTTTCTTTCTTTTTTTTGAAGTTCCATTTTGCCCTTATGTTTTATGAATGATTTTAAAGCTTTTGAGACAACAGAACAAAAGATTGTTTCTCTAGAGTTTTTGAATAGATATTGACTTTTATGACTCGGTAACAGATTTAATTTTTTTTTTTAAATACTTACGATTTTTTTTTAATATTATTTCTTACTAAAGGGCTTAGATGTTTCTTAAAATAAAGATGAATGTTTTTTCCCAACTTTTATTAGGCTTGCACAATTGGAAACGAAAAATTTTAAGCATTTATTTTATTTAAATATTAGCTCATTTAATCAGAATCTTTTTTATAACCAATTTTTAAAGTCAAGTTCGATTTTTTTTAAATAAATCTTTATTTTTAAAATAAAATTCCAAAGGAAATGTATTAAATAAAGAAGTAAACAAACTAAATAAACATTTTTTTGACCTTTTGTTGTTGATGTGCACCACCTTAAATTCTTTATTTAAAACTTAAACAAAAAAAATTCTTAATGAAAGTGTTTTCAAAATATTCAGATTTTATTTAATAGAAGAAAAAAGAAATTAAAATAAAATAGATGAAAACGTATTTATTTATTTTTTCGAATATTAAATGAATTTTCATTTCAAACTATGCTTGAGGCATACATTTCCAAGATGATGCATGTTATCGTTAGAGCGTAGAAATCAATTATTCTTTAGATTAATTAATGAGCAGATTAACTAGGGCGATTCGTTAAAGTGCTGAATATACTTTAATTTTACAAATTACCTACGAAATCTGAAAACTACATAAGATGATCTGCATCTTACTTGTGAAGGTGCAAATAATATCGTTGATGGAACAACACTATCGTTTCGGTGCCGTTGAATTAACATAGTGTTTTACTTATTTATTTTTTGCTATATAAATTTTGAACATAGTTTAACTTATGTTAACGGCAGCATTAACCTCATCTTCTTCCCCTGAGCTATTCTGTGGATTGTAGACGGTTAGATATACTCATATGGATATACTAAGATATTTCTTTGATCCAAAGATATTTATATTTTTAAAGGATTTTTACTCTTCAGTACAAAGTTTAATTTTAAAAGAGAGATTTTGCATAGAGTTTATCTTACGATAACGGTAGCACTAACCTTATCTTTTACCCCTGAATGATTCTGTGAATTGTAGAGATATTTTCGAGCATGCGCTTTAAATATTTTACAACGAAGTCAAAAGAAACTGTAGTACCAGGCAAAACCTCTCTATTATTAAAACACAAGAGTTGAAACTTGCTAAATTTGAGTAATAAACTATCAAAACAATTAATTCAAGGATGAACCATAATAGTGGCGCCTTGAATTATAAACTAATAAAAAATAAATGTTTATTATTTATAATATTTTATTTAGTAATTGTCGAAGCATTTAAGACTGACTGAGACACTTGTTAATAACTTTATCACCATTTTAACTCAGATAATTATGAATGACAAAATACAAAATTTGGGCAAAAGTTCATGAGAAATGAAAGTTTAACAATAAGTTTTCTTTCAAAAATTTTTTTCCTCAGAAACTATTCTACCGTAGATTCAATTCAAATATTGTATTTTGTCATTTGAAATGAAATAGTTTAAAATGTAATAAGATTGTGTACTTGATTCGAAACTTTTTCTCCCATTGTTAAATATGTTGCAAAAAAAGCAAATAACGAATCTACTTCTGATTAAAAAAAGCGTTATGCTCCTTTTCAAATGATTGTGACCAAAAAATACTCATCTCTAAATAAAAGAAGAAAGCTCTAGAGCTTCAAATTTTGCTTTCAATCAATTTTACAAAAAATGTTCATTTCTACCCATAGTTTCACGAAAAAAAAAGTTGTAATGCCGTTTTTCCACATTTTGTCTGAGGAACCAAATTTCTAAAAACGTCATTTAATTGCTGCATCTTTTAATTGTTTAATTTGGTTCTCCACGTTTTATTAAGAAGAGCTGAGGTGATAGAAAAGTATGAAATCTAAATGTTTAAATCGTGAATAGTTGCTCTCCACAAATACTATAAAACAGTTTTAGTATAATTAATAAGTACAGCTATTATTATTATTATTATTACTTTTATTTCGCATAATACGTATTAAAAATAATATTCAGCCTGAGGAAAAAATGTTTTAAATGGGATCAAAAGTTGAAAGTAAAAACTATTTTATTGTAAGCAATAACCATCAATCTACCATTAGCATCCATGATAAAAGTCTCGTTTCAGTTTTTTCGCCAATGTCATCTATACTCAGTTGCAAGTTATGAAAAAACCATTATGCCTATGGAAAGCCTGTTTGTGTCGAAGTGCAAGCCAAATGGATGCCAAGCTCATAGCGTGAACGTATATCAATATCGCAAACTCTTGAAACGACATTGCACGACCTCCTTTTTGTTTGCTTTCTTATTAATAATAATTACAGTTATTAACAACAATAATCAATGAACAAGTAATAAGAATTAATAAAAATATCGAATCAAAATATAATATCGAATAATAAAAATATCGAAAGTTCAAATTTAAAGAAATTGATGAAAGAAACTGTTGATATTTGTATGATTTGATAACGAAATAAAACGGAACTATATTTAGTCGCAGATGATTGCTTAAATCCTATACACCGTAATGGTCTTTTCTTAACTTGCAACGGAGTATAATATTTTTAAGGTAGCTGTTTCTCACATCTGAATAAATTAAGTAAAATTTGACTTCGTCTCTTTTTTTTGTATACTATTTACTTCTCGTTATTTTTGCATACTAAAAGCCTAAATTAACATAAAATCCGCTATTTTTTTCTTAAAAAAAAGAAGGAAGAAAAAAATTAGAAACATGATTTACTGTTATGACATGCACATATGCAAACAGCAGAGCTTAACTATCTTATTTATTTCATACGTTATTACGCGTCAATATTTGAAAGATAATTTCGAGTCAGTCTGTTAATTACTTAACATGAAACGTGCAGATGACTTCCTATTTCCTTCTAATACATTTACTTTTTCTTTCTCTTTATTCTCCTTTATTTTTTTTACTTATCTATTTATTTATTTTTCTGCAGACGCAGCCTATAGCACCGTTTAGCATCGTTATTTTGACTACGTGCTTAACTTTCGTTCGTTTCCTACTTCGGATTCGGTGCGATTAGACGATTGCAAATTTCCTTTTACAATAAATTTTTTAAATTAAAAAATAAATTTTAAATGAAGTGGAAGCAAATCGGAAGAAAATATGAATTAAGTAAAAAGACGCTCTTAATCACTTCCTTCTCTCTATATACATTTATTACTGTTTCAAAGTAAATAAATTTAGGTGGATATAATTAAACTTTCAGAAGTGACAATAGTTATAGTAGGTTATATAATTCTCCTTATTCTCATTCAGCTTTGTACTTCTTATAGCCGATAGGCTATCTCTTGAAGGACGGAGCGGGGGTTCGAGCCCCAGCCTTGACACCACAATATTTCCTCCATTCCTTTCAATACTTGTAGAGTTACAAGCGTCCTGTGCTCTCAACTCCAATGCCCATTACCCAACGAAAAGCCTAGCTCCAATGTCCTGGTAAATTTCCTTTTCAATGGTTTTTTGAAAAATGCTGGCCGTAAATGGTTAAAAAACCATATAGTTCAGTAATCATGATTTTTTAACCAGACTAGTTGTGAATGATTTGCAATCCGTAAAGTTAAATTTTTTTTACCATAAACTTTAATTTTAACATCTAAACATTTTAGTTTTAGAATGAAAATATTAACAGTGCATTATAAACAAAATATCTGCAATGAAAATTATACTCAAATATAAAAAACAAAACAAGCAGTTGGCACTTGTGTTAAAATGAAAGCCTCCCATAGACCGCAATGGATGAATGAATGTATACCAAGTTCCATGAAGACCCAAATTTCTCCTCTAGAGGTATGTGAAAAATTACTGCATGATTTCCAAGAAGATGAGCCAATTATCCGTAACAAGAACATAACAAAACCACTCAAATTTATAGATGTCAGGCACCAACTAGATACCAATGATTTGGGTAAGAAAAACATACCTCACACAGTACGAAAAATAAATGCATTATGCATGCTGCAAGAACAATACCCTGAACCCAGAATGGACGAGAGTGTACACTGACGGCTCAAAAATACAGGACAGCACCGGAGCAGGAGTAAGCTTTTTTCTCACAGTGCACCTGTGGGATACTATATGTCAAATTTTGATCTTCGCTATATCTCTTAAGAATAAGATCAATTACTTCACTAAGGCAGTAATCCTTGTCGACTCTAAGGCAGCTATCCAGGCAGTTGCCATAAACCATGATTCAGATACTCAGACTATTTCAGATATTAGAGATAATTTGATTTTTCTCGAGAATGCCAACAAAATTATTATGTTCCAGTGGATCCCTTCGCATGTAGGAATCAATGGCAATGAAAAGGCAGACCAACTAGCCAAGAAAGGGACACTCGAACCACAATGTAATAAACCGATTCCACCAGACTCCCTTAAAAAACAATTTTCCGTGAAACTTATGACCGACCTAATGCTCAACCAAGCAGTAAAATCCACTGGAAAACCCTGGGCTAACATCCAAAACAGTTGGAAGAAATTTTGTCACAGTCCTCGTAAGAAGGCTGTGGCAAACTTCAGACTCTCAACAGGCCATGACTGCTTGGCAGAGCACCTCAACAGAATAGGTATCCTTCCATCTAGTGAGTGCCAAATCTGCAATTCGGGAACCATGAACTCAGACCACTTGCTTGTATGCCCTTTACTGGACAAACAATCTCAAGAGCGGGGTGATCTCTGTAAACTTTACTGGGATGCAAGAGATCACATGAACTCTCTGTAAAGACTACTCATCATTCTTATTTATATATATATATATATATATATATATATATAAAACTTTAATTTTATCTTTGTGTTTTTTTGTGTTTATATGCGTTTGTCATGTGTTTTCCTTGTTTGTTAGTGTAATTTTGTTCCTTTTCACTCCTCGTTTACGTCCACTAAACGCTGAACATTGTATATGGATTAATATTTCCAATAAAGCCATGTGTAATAACATATTCAAATATAAATTTCAAACGATGTCTCGTTTTAGTTCAAATTTAGATATTAAAATCATCATTTCTTTTCATATTTAGTGGCACACATAAGGCCCTCAGTCATGTTCTCCACTATCCTCTGTTAGCCACAGCCTCTCCTTAATTTCTAAGAATGTATAATCTTTTTTCACTTAAATAACAACTTTTCTATTGCTTAACATGGAGTGAAAATGGTTTGCTCAATGGAGAAACGGTTAATCAGGGAGAAAAATCTGAATCAAGCACTTTTAAGCAGAGATTCCTACGAATGTCTGCTCATTTTTTCATTTAAATAAAACATTTTCTATTGTTTAACATGAGGTGAAAACGTTTTGTTCAATGGAGAAAGGTTAAACGAAGAGAAAAATCTGAAAAAACGCTTGAATGGTTAAAAATAGTAAAATTAAAAATGCTTAATGACCTTTCTAATCATTTTCCTTTCAATCTATAAATTTTTCTCTTAAGCAACTTTTAACAATTCTTAAATTCACCGAAAAATCTATTTTACGCCATGGAGCTCTGAATATCATTTACACATTTACTGAAAAAGTACATTTTAAACAAAATTACTACGACTTAATTTCAATAAATTGCGAAACTTTCTTCGACCTAACAAGTATTTTCACAATAAAAATATTTACCAATTTTCTTTTTATAAGTTTTTCCCTCTTGGATATTGGAATTTTTCAGAATTTGCAGGTCACCTTCGCAAAGGAATAAAAGTTGGGATGAAAACTTTTCATCCACTTGTTTACATTTTTGAAATATCGAAAACACTTGAAACTCGGGAAGTGCAAGTAGACCAACCCTCGATGCAAATTTTAAAACTCAGTTCGGAATTTAATATCGGATATTTGTTACTGTACATCAAAGTGATTCAACCAAAAGATCGAAAATCCAGCCCAATAAAGCTCGTATAATTTGAGCAAAAAATATAAACCGTATTGAGTTTCATTATAATTTTTTTCCAATACTTATTGAAAATGTTTAATGATTTATTTATGCTTTCAATAAAGATCTACGTAGCTAGAAATGATACTTAAATGAAAAATAAACTTCAGATTCTCTCTATAATCTGCAATACCCGTTACCACGCTGAAGGGTATCAATTACGAGATAAAGATTATATTAAAACTATAAATTAATTGATCCTTTGTTGACAATATATACTGCGATTTAATATTAAAAAATATGGAAAAACGAATATCTTTAATAACTTTTGCTCTAATGATCGCATTTTCGCATTTTTACGAATTAAATGTCTATCTTAATCAAGAGAGGACATAAAATGTGTTAATTAAAAAGTGCAGACGAAATTTTCAGTTTCAAAATCAGACGCAAGAATTTAATTTATCTTAATAAACATATCTTTTTTCGATAAATTTAGATTTTTAATATAGAAAATGTTTGAGGGGGAAGGTAGCCTCAAGCTAGAAAACGTCCGATATTTTAGGCTGGGGAGCGGTCGAAAGCTTAGGCCTCTTAATATTAATTTCAATTTTTGCATACTTCGATCTATTTTAGAATGTTTTGAAGCGAATCGCATGTAAATATGAATTCGGCCCAATAGTTGAGTAAAAAAAGTATTTTTAAATGATATTTAATTGGATTTGTTCAAATTTCGTATATTTTCATTTGAAAGCACATAGTTCAATATCGTGTTAAAATTGCCTACCCTACGATTTACGAATTTTTCAATTAATATGAAATTAAGTAATAAAAAATAATTATTTAATGTTATTTTCAACGTAGAATTTTCTTCGGATTAGCGAATTGTGCGCAAAACTTTCGATTCGCTTGAAACCATGAAAACCTATTTCCGCAGAGATATCTTAATTCCAATATTAGTGTGTTTTGTACTTATGAAAAAACACATTAATTAACATAAAAGCAGTAGTGACAATTGCTAAAATGAGGTAAGCATCATTGGCGCTAATATAATTAGGAGATTTTTTAAAATTTTTCTAGGTGAACAAGCAACTTTTATCCATTAATTTAGCTTTTTAGTACGAAACTTATTTTTCATTTCAATTTGAACCGATTACCAAAATTAATTATGCACCATTGGCGTCGATAACAATATGGAAATATTTAATGGTTTATATACTCGAATAAGTATCTTTTATTCATTAATTTAACAATTATTTTTTATTTCGATTTGTACCTATTACAAAAATTAGTTAGTTGTAGTTATTGGAAATAATTAGTTTTTTTTATTTTATAATCGTCATTGGTGATCGGACTTAAATCATCGGCACTCATTTCGGAAGCCGGTGCGGCTCCATACTATGAGATTCCCCATAGTTTGAGTTAGAAGTTAAACTCACTAAAAGAAAGATTAACTATCCATATCATTTTAAATGAGATATACAGAATAAAGTGACGTCAGTTCCTGCGAAATTAGTAACGTTGATTTTACTTGTGATAACCTAACATTGAAACTGAAGATAAATATTTCACTTGAACACATGCGATAAAACTAATTTTTGATTGAATAGAGGGGCAAACTAGCAAATGACTCACATTATGAAATATTTTGTTTCATAACCGTCGCTGAACAGCTGACTCAATTTTGAGTTTACAACTACCAATGTTTAACTCAGTAGCCGCGTCATTTTGAACCCGATCCGGAAGACAAGGGAACTCCTGGATCAGGTATTGGGTGAAATTTGCCTTCGTGGAGGACTTTTTGAGGGAACTAACCCGTATTAGCGTTACATGGAGAGGAAAACAAAGAAAACATCCCACGTTTTGACTGATGGCTAGGGGACTCTATTTATGATCCGTCTACCACTGAGGATATTTTACTTCAGTACTGTGGTCGGTGCGACCCGGGTGCGGTATTCGTATCACCAGACATCGCTGGGATTCGGACCCAGGTCATCTCATTGGGAGGCAAGAGTTCTATCTTCTGAGCCACCACTGCTCATTATTGTAAAATATTTATCATTTATTCCTACGGATTTTTTTTAGGGGGAGGAGGGGTGTAGTGCAAACCAGTGATCGGAGGAAGCTTCAAAGTAGACCCGCCGTATCTTTGAGTTACACACAAATGTATGCAAAAATTTTGCTTTATTCCTATAGATAATTCTGCTGCATATTTTTATACGCATTTTATGACTCTTTGTTTTTTTCCGTTGTTCGATTAGTTGCGAGTGGAAATGCGCTATTATAATACAATTGAAAAAGTTGTTATCAAGTTAAATTATTAAAGGTTATTATCTATGTGACAGTTTAGTATATTTCTGTAGATAAGTTTTAAAGGTTGTATTTTCACAGTAGGAAATTAAATTTTGCCATGACTTGTTTCCAGATCATACGCTTTCTATTGGCGGAATCTATACTCATTTAAGATGTTTACATCGTGTCATTACCATTCTTAGCAGTTTAATTTGGAGCTGCAAAGAGATAAGTTCCTAAAGTGACACGTTGAATTCTTACAGTCAAAGCGCTTGAATTATAATTGCGCTCCAAGAACACTCAGTGACTGTCACTTGGATCCTTCCTCCAGTGAAATCACCGGAAATGAAAGATCTCAGTAACAATTAAAAACCAATGGACTTAGGTTATTTACGTCGCAATATAACTGCACATTGGGCTATTGGCGACTGTCTGGGAAACATCCCTGAGGATGATAGAAATACATGCCATCGTAATTTTTATCCCCTGCAGAGGGGGGGGGGCTCCCCTTCTTTGGTAGCCCGATGACCTGTATGCAAACTCGAGCACTTTACGGTAGAGCAGTTTAACGAGGACCCATACCATACACCCTCGGTCCCTGTGCAGGCTGATCAAATGGGTCACCCACCCGCTTACTGACCACAGACAGTGATGCTTGACTTCGGTGTTTCACTGGGAACAGTGTCTTTACGATCAGTTCATTGCGGGACCCAATGGACTTAACAAAATGATTTTTTGACACATAATTAAATGAGATTAAAATAAGAACCTTCCACGGGCTATATAAATTATAAAAACAATCTTGTATTTTTTTTTTATCCATTCAGTTCTTTAATTGTAATGCTGCAACACTGTTATTCTGCCCAAGATAATGCAGTCTTTTTCAACAAACAGTCCAAGGATTTTAAGTAAAGAATCCCAAGAAACTGAAGCGGTAAGATATTACTTGATTAAAAAACGTAATTTACTTCAAAAATTGGATATAACAGTCGACATGTTTCAAGCGCTCACAAATGAACGCTCGTTTTCAAGACTTTACAGACGGGAATGAGAAGAAACAAAAGTGATTTGTAATATGGAACGTAAAGTTGCCAACGAAAAATGGAAAATAAAAGTGAGAAACAAAACCAGAATATCCTCAGTTGCTGAGAGGAAATAAAAATAACGATGAAAAAACGGAGCAAGAAAAACCACATTGGCTGAGAGGGGCAAATCAGGGAGGGACAAGGGCGTAAAACAAAATAAATGCTGGTTTTAATATTACAAAAAAAATGACATAAATAAAAATTTAAAAAGAATATAGGAACCAACTGATGCAAAAAAAATTATTATGTGTAAAATTTTCGAAAAACAAATTTTTATTTTTAGCTAAGAAATACCGACAAAATAACATTTACATATTATTTATTTAGTATTACTTGTAAGAGAAACTGCGTATAGAAGTTTTCGTTTTATTTTCTCAGTTATTGTTTACATAAAGAAAGCAGAAAAACAAGTGAAAGTTTTCTTAGAAAGAAAATAGTTCCAGAAATAGATCCATTAAAGGAAAAAAGAAACATAAATAATATTTTCAATAAAAAAA